TCATTATTCTCCTTCTCTACGTTTCTTCTCTCAGGGGTCTCTCCCCAAATATTTCAGGCTTTCTTGTTATTTTTTTCTTCTTGTTCCAGTTACTCTTCCTGTGTGATTCTACAGTGGGTTTTTTGTCCATGTGCTTTTAGTTTTTTGATCGTCATTCAATTATAAATTTTCTCTAACTCACTGGGAGACAGCAACAGTCCCCATAAGACACAACTACACCCACAATGCCTGCAATTTCACTTACTGAGTGAGAGCCACTACCTACTTCTCCACCAATGGGCCAACAATAACAAAACATCAAGAAGAGCCTGAATCACCCTTGGCTACTCTTCACAAACAGTTAACAGAGAGCTAAATACAACAACAACATGATGCCTCAGAGACAACAGACCATCACAGTCCACAAAAAGAAGCAGGATAAAGTGGTAGAAACAAGGGAGCAGGATACAGACTTAGAACACGTAACTGAAGAAGAAGCAGCATTGGAACTCTCTCATAAGGAATTCAAAAGAACTATATTTAGGTATCTCCAAAGGATTGAGAAACAAACCAAAGAAAACACAGAAAAAACCCTATAAGAATTTTGGAAGAAAATACAAGAACAAAATGACAAATTAAATGAAAAATTAGAAATGATTCTAAAACTGCAGCTAGAAATCCAGAAGATTAATACTAAATTGTCAGAAATAGATAACACATTGGAAGGGCAAAGGAGTAGAACTGATACAAGGGAAGACAAAATTAATGAGATCTAAGACAAATACCTGAATACTTCTTTGGAAAGGGATCAATCAGAAAAAAAAATCAAAATAAAATGAAGAAAGCCTATGGTTCATGTGGGATACCATCAAAAGAAATAGCATACATATCACTGGAAGTACAGAACGGGAAGAGAAAAATGAAACCACTGAGAAAACTGTCCAAGATTTGCTGGAGGAGAACTTCCCTGCTATGATGAAAGATGAGAATATATCCATTCAGGAAGTCCAACGAACCCAAAACAGGATAGACCCCAAAAGAAAATCACCAAGACACATCATCATCAAACTCATCAAAACCAAAGACAAAGACAGAATCCTGAAAGCAGCATGGGA